GCTCGCTGGTGCTTCACTCGTTTTGGGCTCTGCCCCGATCGAAGCACCATCGGCAAGGTGTTGCGCATGGAAGCCAAGTGGACCGGTGGCAACACCCCCACCGGTGCATTCCGTATTCGTGGTGGCCGCTTTCCCGAGCTTGAGGTTGAACTCCGCGTGTGGATTACTCGTGCTGGACCAGCCAGCATCCCACTGACGCAGGAAGTGATCCGCGAGCAAGCGGAAACCATGGCTCGTGCGGCTGGCATTGCCCACTCCAAATTTCGTTGCTCCTTTGGATGGGTTTGTCGAGCCCTTCGTCGTATGGGCATCCGCTGCGTGAAGCAGAAAGGGTAGGCGGGAGACCAGGATCTGAACGCTGTCAACACGTGCAAGGTCAAGTTGCCACGCCTCTTGATGTACCTCGGGGTTTCTCCTCGGGACGTGTTCAACTTTGATGAGACGGCATTGTACATCAACATTCTGCCGAAGTTCACGTACACCGACTCCGCCGACTCCCCTGCAGGAGGGAAGGAGCCCAAGGAGCGGGTCACGGTTGGCCTTATGTGCAACGCTGATGGCAGCACGATGTTTTGCCCCCTTGTTATTCACAAGCACGCCCGCCCCACCTGCTTTCGCCCCAATTTCGACCCCGAGCCCCTTTGCTACTGGCAGTCCAACAAGAAAGGCTAGATGACCAGCCCTGTATGTATTTCAATGACCTAAATGCTCATTGGCCACGCACTTGGATGCATGCATGTTTCTGTTGGTTAAAATTGTACGTTTCATGAAACTATTAATTCTGCCCTGCACCTTTCTCAACTTCCCCACCGTAGAGACAACTATGTGTTTATTGCAGTCATTCATACTATTCCCGCATGCGTTTATCCTTGCAGCTGTTCACCAATTTTATGGCGAAGATAAATGCAGCGATGTTCGCTGAGCGCCGCTCAATCGTGGTACTCGTCGACAACGCGTGCGCTCCGAGGACCTCTTCGGCTTTAGGACCCGATGCCTCAGCAACTTGCGGGTGGTCTACCTCCCCCCCAATACCACCTGCTTCACCCAACCGCTGGATCAGGGAATCATCTCGACCCTGAAAACCCGCTACAGGGGGAAGCTCCTACGGAAGGTCGTGGCAGTGTGGAACTTGACCCGCAGCGCCAGCGCAGTGCGCCGCGAGAGCGTTCGCACGAAGATGACGGAGGCGCTGCAGATGCTAAGCACATCATGGCTTAGCATCACCCCGCGCACCATCCAGCGTTGCTGGTGGCGTACGGGCTGCTTGCCCAACTCTTGGGCCATGGAGTTGGAGCACCTCGAGGTGCATGTGGCGGACCCGCTAGATGAGGAGGTTGAACCAACGCTGGAGGAGGAGATTGGAGATGTCGGCGCCCTCATCTGAACCCTCCCCTTGGGCGCTGGTGCGATGCCTGCGGCGACGTACGTGTCCTTCGATGACAACCAGCCAACCTGCGATATGCCCGGGGTTGACCCTCTCGCCATTGAGCCGTCACCACCACTGCAAAGTGATTCTTGGTTGGCGGCTCCAACCATACCTGCAGCCTCTGTTGATGTGCCACCGGAAGCTCGCGAGGCGAGGCGCATAGCGCGGGCCGCCACCGAGATTATCATCGGCTATTCTCGAGCAACAGGAATTACGTCACGGGATCTGAGGGTGCTATTTGACATCCGCAATCCCGAGGTTGTAGAGAAGCTGGAGCGTGCGAGCATGCTGCTGCCCGACCTGAACGCCGCTGCAAGCAGCGAAAATCCCTCCCCGCAACCATATAGGGTAGCTCCCAGTAAGGTAGCTGCATGTGAGAGAGTTTTACGAGTTTAGGTAGCTGCTTCCTTGAATTATTTGTATGCGTCGTAGTTGCTGATTTCCACACCTCGTGAAAGTTGTGTACTAGCTGCTGGATTCATATGAGTCAAGAAGGTTGCATGCAAGGTGAAGGGGTTTTTTTCCGCGTGCCCAAGAAGTTGCATGCCGGCTGTCGGAATTCTGAGTGTCGTGGAATTTGAGTGCAAGGAGTTACTGTAGTTCGTTTGCTGCGCGAATATGTTTCGGGGTGCATGTCGGGGGCGCAAGTATCCACGTGTGCCTACTTTTGTTTTTTTGTTCTTTGTGAAAGTGGGCTGATTCTGCCTGGCATGGTTTCCCATTTTTCTCTTGTTTCTGACTGAACGAGTGGATTCGGGACGCGGGGGGTGTTGTCGAACATAAATAGGCAAAATCAAGGTCCGATTGTGCTACAGTTACCGGGGTACACGGGATAAACAACGAATGTCATCCGTATTCTCATGGTCCTGCCAAATGGGTAACCGCAGTCCTGCATTCAGGCCCAATTTGCCAGCGATTTGAAGTCGCCCGTTACTGGATTACCCGCCCAAAACAAAACATGGGCCTCTCTCAGACTTCTGGTGTATTGGACTGTACTGTACTGCTCACTGCTCAGTGCTCTGCTCTGCTCATGCGGAAAACCCCCCGCGCAAGTTTTTCAGCCGTCAGAATAAACGTATCAGGGGACGGCTCCCGCACAAACATCCCAGAACACGCGCAGGTCGAGTGCTGCGGGATAGCGCGTTGTCAGGGGGACGACTTGGCTGATGCGGAGTTCTGCGCTGCGGGACTTGGGATGCTTGGGCCATGCGCAGTTCTGCGCTGCCAAAAGTGTAACACTGTCATCTCACAAACCTTCGCAAATTGACCTTCGGCTGGCGAACGGGTCATCTCACTCGCCAATTCTTCGGCGCGCGCCACTGACTCGGATACTTGCCGCAGCTCCTCGCCTTTCACTTCGCCAGATCTCGTCGGCTCGGCAACCTTCCATCGGTTCCCCCCTCTGTCAGTGCAGCCTCCGCAAGCTTTGCAGCGGCTTCCGCTGCCGTGGGCTTTCAGGGAACAGTGTTTTCGAAACACTCCCCTCGTCCCGTCAATGGGCTTCAGGGAACATACGCCGCGGGCTTGCGGGGCAATTCAAAACGAAACGAGTCGCCCTTTGCATGGCACAAGAATTCGCCGCGCCGCTCCCTCCCTTCCCTTACGCCGTTCCCATTGTTTACCCAATGCCCAGCCCCCCTCCCTCCCCCTCCTCCTTGGCTTTACAGTACCTCGGTTTTCTTGTCTTGCCGCCTTACTCTAATACTTCTCTCGTAGTCCTCCTCGGTTTCCGACTCCATGGCTTCCTCGGTTCTTACCATGGCCGCCATCGCGTTCCTTTCTCATGGAGTTTTCTTCGAGGACTAGGCTTTAATGGATTAGTTGTGACAGAAGCGTTGAGGTCCTGAGCTCCTAAAATCGTAATCCGAACGCGTAGCTGAATCAGCTCCTGAATCAGAATCTCTCACCTCACCGAATCAGAATCTCTCACATCGCTGCAGCGTCGTCGGTTCGTCAGAAAGCGTTGTCGATTCATTTTCGGGATGTAGTCAGCCTTTTCCATGCTAATCAGCATTGTCAGGGTTTTCGATTCTTATCATCGTTAGGGTCTCTGATTCTTATCAGCATCGTCAGGATCTCCGATTCTTATCAGCATCTTCATGGTCTTCGATTCTTATCAGCATCCTCAGGGTCTTCGATTCTTGTCAGCTTCGTCAGGGTTTCCGATTCTTAACACGCTGTCGTCGATACTGTCATCACGCTAGATTCTATAGGGAAGCGTGCGGCAGCTCCATATTTTTTTCGATTCCGTGGCCTAGCCTCGAATTTCCTCGACTTTCCGAGGCCGTATTTCGCCACAATCGAAAGCTCGACTCCGACGCGGAATCCGAGCGTTCCTCGGACGCGTTCGAATCGCCGCATCATGGACTCGCCACCACCACGAGTTAATCGCGATCGGACGAGCGCCGAGGGTGAGTAAATTGTTTGACTCGCCTTTGCATCGATTTAGCCGAAATCAAACGCGCATCGATTTCCGTTATTTCCGTTTCATCTACAGACTACCGTCTTTTTCATTTTGACGGATTGCAAGGACCGACCGTCGTTGTTTGAAGAGATCGAGTCACCGTTACAAGAAAAAAACTCTCAACGAGATCGCCGCCGCTGCTGCGACGTGAAAAAATCGCTGCTGCGATGTGGCGAGACCGCTGCTGCCGCTGCGACGTGACGATATCGCTGCTGCTGCTGCTGTTGCGACGTGGCGAGATCGCTGCTGCGACTTGACTAGATCGCTGCTGCAACCTGACTAGATCGCTGCTACGACGTTACGAGATCCCTGGCGAGATCGTTGCTGTGACGTGGCGAGATCGCCGCTGCTGCTGCGACGTGGCGAGATCGCCGCTGATGTTGCGACGTGGTGACATCGCTGCTGCGACGTGACGAGATCGCTACTGCGACGTGGCGAGATCGCTGCTGCGACGTGGCAAGATCGTTGCTGCGATGTGGCGAGGCCGCTGCTGCGACGTAACGAGATCGCTGCTGCTGCGACATGGCGAGATCGTTGCTGCGACGTGGCGAGACTGCTGCTGCGACGTGGCGAGATCGCTGTTGCGACGTGACGAGATCGCAGCTGCGACGTGGCGAGATCGCCGCTGCTGCTGCGACGCGGTGAGATCGCTGCTGATGTTGCGACGTGGCGAGATCGCTGCTGCGACGGGACGAGTTCGCTACTGCGACGTGGCGAGACCGCGTGGCGAGATGCTTCTGCTGCTGCGACGTGGCGAGATCGCTGTTGCGACGTGACGAGATCGCAGCTGCGACGTGGCGAGAGATCGCTGCTGGGACGTGGTGAGATCGCTGCAGCGACGTGGCGAGATCGCTACTGCGACTGCGACGTGGCGAGATCGCTGCTGCTGCTGCGACGTGACGAGATCGCTGCTGCGACGTGGCGAGATCGCTGCTGCTGCTGCGGCATGGCGAGAAGACTTTCTCTAACCGGCTAAGTTTCCTCGCGCTCACTCACTCTTTCTCCCATCGCATCCTGATCGTCTGTCCCTTCCCACCCTCCCCCATCCCCATCCTCCCACCTCGCCCATCCCTCCCCCATCCTCCCACCTCGCCCTATCTTTGCATATCCATTCCTCTCCAAAATTCCCCCCACTGGTGGCACAAGCGAAACCCGCAAGTCGCAGACCTTATACCGCGGTTAAGCCTTGGTACTTCGGGGAATGAGCCCCAGGGTAAGTTGGTATGTGCACCCTCGTGATTCTTCGAGGTGAATTCCCCTGGGTAAGTCAGTGAGCTGTCCGGTTAAGCCTTGGTACTTCGGGGATTATGCCCCAGGGTAAGTTTGTAACTGCTGTGCTCCCCCCCTATCAGCTAAGCCTAGTGTAAATCTAAGCCTTAAATAGAGCCACTGCCTCCTGGGTCTGTGACTTGTGGGTGTCGCCGCCACCAGTAGGGCCTCCTCCTCCCTCTCTCCCTCCTCCCTCCCTCGCTCTTACTCGTTGCTTCCTTCTTCCGCTTTCTTGAATCTGTTCAGTGTGCTCTGTTCTGCTTTCCGCTTTCGCTTTTAGGTCAAATTTCGCTTCTCTTCTTGTGCACACTGTGTGCCCTTACCCAGCGACTAATCTTCCCTCTGGGATTGCGTCTCTCCCGTTCCTCCCTCTGCAGGAACGACTAAATCCTCAACCCTAATCTAAGGACACCAGCACCAACCAGCAGCGGCCGCAGCAGCAAGACCAACACCAATCAGCAGCTCGCCCAATGCCGCTTGCCCGACGCCAGCAGCAACACCAGCAGCAACCGGCAGCTCGCCCGACCTCTCTCACCCGACCTCGCTCACCCGACCTCGCTCACCCGACCTTGCTCACCCGACCTCGCTCACCCAACGCCAGCAGCAACACAAGCACCAATCAGCAGCTCACCCAACCTCGCTCGTCCAAGGCTCCCCCAAGCCTTAAGCAGGGGAGGAGGGCGGTGGGATGACGCACGGCATGGGGAGTGCCCTGCTGACCACTCCCCTGCGTGCCCTCTTGGCAACTCCCTTTCCTCCCACCACACTCCACCACTTCCGCCTGCCACCCACCTCCTCTCCACCATCCTCCTCTCTCACTACTGGCTGACTGACTGGTTGACTGACACAGACAGACAAACTGACTGACTGACTGACTGACTGACTGGCTGACTGACTGACTGACAGACTGACTGACAAATTGACTGACTGACTGACACAGACTGACAGACTGGGCGGTGGCCCGAGATGAGGGAGTGTGTGAGAGTGAGAGTGAGCCACACGCGGCAACGGGATTGGCGAGTGCAGGTGAGTTCATGGTTCGTTCCTACAGGTGTGTGCACCTGCTCTTGACTCGGACACTGCAGCCAAGAGGTGGGTCCAATGCTCTCACCAGGTGTGTGCACCTGCGGTGCATGGGTAAGTAAGTGCAGGAGGGTCCAACTGGCAATGGGATTGGAGAGTGCAGGTGAGTTCATGTTGGTTCCTACAGGCGTATGCACCTGCTCTGCATGGGTGCGTTGCTTGCTCCGCTCGTCCTTCACTGCTGCGCTCGGCCGTCACAAGGAGCCGAGGGGAGCAGCGCTCGTCACCAGGTGCAGTGCTCTCACCAGGTGTGCTGCTCTCACTCGGCCTTCACTACTGCTGTTTCACTCGGCCCTCACGAGAATCCAAGGGGAGAGGCGCTCGTCACCGGGTGCACAGCTGCTGCAGGTGAGTTCAGTGCTCTCACCAGGTGGCTGCTCTCACTCGGCCTTCACTACTGCTGTTTCACTCGGCCCTCACGAGAAGCCAAGGGGAGCAGCGCTCCTCTCGCACCAGGAAAGGAGGAAGTGGGGGGGGGATTCGGAGGCGGAAGGGTTTGGCACACACCATCCCGTACTGGAGTGGGTGCGGGTGGGTGTGAGGGTGTTTGGCACACACCATCCCGCACTGGCGCGGGTGCGGGTGGCTGTGAGGGAGTTTGGCGCACACCAGCTCGCACTGGCGTGGGTGCGGTGGTGAGGGGAAGGTGAAGAGAGAGGCGCTAGGGGACGGTGGAGGAGGATGGGTGCAGGGGGCAGGGTGGGGACCCCCCTCTCAATGCCACTCATCCGACTCCCTGTGGTCCCCTCCCTATGTGCCTCCTCCCTCTCAATATACTTCTGGAATCCAACTATGCGCCACCCCAGCCTTCCCCTAGTTTGATGGTTGGATGAGGAGGAGGTCCCCCCCCCCGCCCCCCCCATGGCACCAGCCCCAGCTGCAGCTCACGGTAAGGACAGGAGGACGGCATCAGCGCCAGCTCACAGTAAGGACAGGAGGCCGGCACCAGCACTAGCTCATGGTAAGGACAGGAGGCCGGCACCAGCGCCAGCTCACGGTAGTAAGGACAGGAGGCCAGCACCAGCTCCAGCTCATGGTATGGACAGGAGGCCGGCACCAGCGTCAGCTCTCGGTAAGGACACGAGGCCGGCACCAGCTCCAGCTCACGGTAAGGACAGGAGGCCGGCACCAGTGCCAGCTCATGGTAAGGACAGGAGGCCGGCACCAGTGCCAGCTCATGGTAAGGACAGGAGGCCGGCACCAGCGCCAGCTCACGGTAGTAAGGATAGGAGGCCAGCACCAGCTTGAGCTCACGGTAAGGACAGGAGGCCGGCACCAGCGTCAGCTCTCGGTAAGGACACGAGGCCGGCACCAGCGTCAGCTCACGGTAAGGACAGGAGGCCGACACCAGCTCCAGCTCACGGCAAGGACACGAGGCCGGCACCAGCACCAGCTCTCGGTAAGGACAGGAGGCCGGCACCAGCTCCAGCTCACGGTAAGGACACGAGGCCGGCACCAGCGCCAGCTCTCGGTAAGGACAGGAGGCCGGCACCAGCTCAGCTCACGGTAAGGACAGGAGGTCGGCACCAGCGCCAGCTCAAGGGAAGGACAGGAGGCGCGGACAGCTCCAACAAACGGCGAAGGTGTAAGCCCCTCACCCCCCCCCTCCCCGGTCCACCCCTCCCCCTCCCGGCACCAGCTCCAGCTCAAGAGAAGGACAGGAGGCGCGGACAGCTGCAGCAAGCGGCGAAGGTGTAATCCCCTCAATCCCCCCCCCCCCCCCCCCCCCCCGTTCCACCCCTCCCCCTCCCGGCACCAGCTCCAGTTCAAGGAAAGGACAGGAGGCGCGGACAGCTGCAGAAAACGGCGAAGGTGTAATCCCCTCAATCCCCCCCGCCCCCCCCGGGTCCCACCCCTCCCCCCCCCCGGCACGAGCTCCAGCTCAAAAGGAGGACAGGAGGCGCGGACAGCTGCAGCAAATGACGAAGGTGTAATCCCCTCAATCCCCCCCGCCCCTCACCCCTGCCCTCCCTCCACCCCCTCTCTCCCTGCCCTCCCTCCACCCCCTCGCACTTTCAGGTATGGAGCTGAAGCTAGGCGGAGGTGTCAAACCCTTGGCCCCACCCCCCCCTTTCCTCCACCGCCTCCCTCAGCTCACCCCCTCCCCATTTGGCAGCAAGCTGAGTGCAGCAAGGAGGGGGGATCCGTCCCATTCTACCCTGGCGTATTCCCAGGAGAGCAGCACACGAGGTATGTGGGCGGGGATCCCTAGCTCACATTTTGCAATGCTCACACCATGTTCACCCAAGGGTCCTCCTGTGGTGGCTGTGTCTAGCTGCCTCGGATGGCTGAAGGTGCACCTGAGGCCAGCAGAGCTCAGCTTCCTTTCACCCAAGGGTCCTCCCGAGGTGGCTGTGTCTAGCTGCCTCGGATGGCTGAAGGTGCACCTGAGGCCAGCAGAGCTCAGCTTCCTTTCACCCAAGGGTCCTCCCGAGGTGGCTGTGTCTAACTGGCTCGGATGGCTGAAGGTGCACCTGAGGCCAGCAGAGCTCAGCTTCCTTTCACCCATGGGTCCTCCTTAGGTGGCTGTGTCTAGCTGGCTCGGATGGCTGAAGGTGCACCTGAGGCCAGCAGAGCTAAGCTTCCTTTCACCCAAGGGTCCTCCTGAGGTGGCTGTGTCTAGCTAGCTCAGGAGAGCTCAGCTTCCTTTCACCCAAGGGTCCTCCTGAGTTGGCTGTGTCTAGCTGGCTCAGCAGAGCTCAGCTTCCTTTCACTCAAGGGTCCTCCTGAGGTGGCTGTGTCTAGCTGGCTCAGCAGAGCTCAGCTTGCTTTCACCCAAGGGTCCTCCTGAGGTGGCTGTGTCTATCCGGCTCAGCAGAGCTCAGCTTCCTTTCACCCAAGGGTCCTCCTGTGGTGGCTGTGTCTAGCTGGCTCAGCAGAGCTCAGCTTCCTTTCCCCAAAGGGTCCTCCTGAGGTGGCTGTGTCTAGCTGGCTCAGCAGAGCTCTGCTTCCTTTCACCCAAGGGTCCTCCTGAGGTGGCTGTGTCTAGCTGGCCCAGCAGAGCTCATCTTCCTTTCACCCATGGGTCCTCCTGAGGTGGCTGTGTCTAGTTGGCTTGGATGGCTGAAGGTGAAAGGCTCATCCCCCCTTGGAGACTTGACCTCACCGTGCCTCATACTGTAACTTGGGCTCTGAAACTCTACCTCAGCGTGTGAAGACGCCACCTTGGAAACTGGGGTTTGAAACCCCTCCCCTTGTAACTTGCCCCTTCCGTCACCCTACCTTGAAAAATGGGAAAACCCCTGCCCTCACCTCATCTGGCAAGTTGCTGTCTAATCCCCCCTCCCTTCCTTTGTAGGCTATAATACACGTGCTGCTCCTAGTATATCACGTCAAGAGATGTTCACAACCTGCTGCTCCTGTTCACATTCGTTTTCATTGTAAGTAACGGGGGTAAAATTCTATCTGTGTGTGTTTTTTTTTTTGGAAAACAAACGATGTTCGACTCGTTCCAATCCAATGCCCTGTCAGTTCATAATGATTAAATTGGTCACAGTTCACAGTCATGGCAATATATGTATTGCAACATTGATTGCAATCTGTTGCGTTTAGCGGCGCTTTCTGCAGGCCAGGCAACCTGGCTTTCGAAATCGCTGATTTTGTGACCAAGCAATGTTGTCCATTGTTTTTGCCTCGTTGGCATCGACGGCCACTGAAAAGCGACTCTCTTGATTTTGAGTGCGGCGCGATTGCAACTGACAGACACCCACTCGAGCTCCACGAACTTCGCCACATCTGTTACGGTCGAGGTTCTCTCCTTACGGTCTCACTGATTGGCAGATCGTTTAGCTTATGCGCCCTAATCTGGTACTGTTTCCACAGGTCTGGCAACCAATCATGTGCTCGTCTCATGACATGGACATGTGCTTCTGTGGTCCCAAACCAAAGCACGCCAAGCCACAGTTACTGAGTCCCCCGGCTGGAAAATGGGGCTGCTCCCAAGCCTTTGCTTCTGTTTCGAGCCAGGGCAGTCCATAATCACAGGAGCAATGCCGCTCGCTGATTGGCTTGATTCGGTTTCAGCTAACCGAGCGTGGTCCCACGGCCTGCCAAACCTGTGCCTGCCAGCAACCAAGCCTCGGGTTCGGAGGTTGCAATCGCCTCACGACATTTCCGAGATTGATTCCTCCCCAGAATTCCCTAGGCTGGTGACCTCACAGCTGTTCTTCCCTTCCCTGCTCGTTCTGCTCTGCTCTGCCCTGCTCTGCTTCGAGGTGCTCTCAACCACATTGCTGTTGTCTTTTCTTTTGTAAAGCTGAGCTTGCATTTGCACTTTCTTGTACCTCAGCTCTGCATTTGCTTTCTTCTCCCCGTGTAGCCAAGAGGTTTCCTTCCTGCGCCGGGGAGTCGGAGCAATTGCAGATCCGTGGTATTCCCGGGTACCTTGGGGGATTGAGGCTCGAGCGGATCGTAGTGCGACGGGACGGAAAAGGGGAATCAGGTCGGCACGACTCGATTCGCTTTGAAGCCATTCTGTCGACGCGTTTCGGCGGTCTGTCCTCCGTCGATCGGCATATTTCGATCGTTCTTTTCGTCGAGCTCTCGCCGAATAAGAGCCTGGAGCTTGTGTCAGCAAAGGCCTTCCGTTATTAGCACGGGCTCCGAAGCACCTGACGGAAAACATGGGTCGCGGATCGCAGGGAGTCGCAGCTGTCAGCCGTCGAGCGGTCAGCGAGGCACCGGCTGCTGATGCAAAGAGTAGCAACAAGAAGAGCGCTCGAGCTCCATCGGTGAGTCCAGCTCTGGAATGATCGTGTTAGCGTGAGTCAGATCCTCCTAGCCTGCGACCTCTCATCCCATGCAACATCTCCTTATCCCTGAACAATAAAAAGAGCAGCCAGAAGAGCCTATCTCCTTGCAGATGGAGGTCGAAGAAGGACAACAAAACTGAGCTCCATCTGTGAGTCCACTTTTGACCATGAGATCGTTCAACCATGAGCCTTTCTGTTAGACTGATCCCCTCATCCGTCATGGTTAGGCATGGAAATACGTCCCATTCCGCTCGATTCCGTTGGTCTTTGTCACAGCAAGCCGCTTCGTTTCGACTAGCTCACTTGGAACAGCCAGATTCAGATAGTCGTTTGATTGATCCGAATGCCCTTTCGATAGTCACTTGGAACCTCCGCTTAGCCTCAACCCTTCACATCGCGGTTACACCATAGCTGTTCAACCGCCGTTCCACCTCCGTTCCTCTCTCACCACTCCTTTCTCACCACCCACCTCAAACGCATTTCTCTCCCCCCTTCCACCACCAGGCAAAGCCCCCGTTCACTCTGGGTGACCTCCGCCGAGCCATCCCCCCTCACTGCTTCCAGCGCTCCCTCCTCCGCTCCTCCGCCTACCTCCTCATCGACCTCGCTTTCGCCGCTCTCTTCCTCTACGCCACCACCCGGTTCGACGACATCCACCAACTCGTAGATCCGGCCGTTGAACCGCTCTTCCCGGCGCATCTGCAGCCGTACGTTCGGCCCGCGGTGTCGGTGCTCCTGTGGGGGCTGTACACGTGGCTCCAGGGGTGCGTGTGCACGGGCCTGTGGGTGATTGCGCACGAGTGCGGCCACGGCGCGTTCTCGGACTACGCGTTTGTGAATGACGCGGTCGGCATGGTGGTGCACTCGTGGCTGCTCGTGCCTTACTTTTCATGGTGAGCTTCGGACTGTTATGGGTGATGGGGGACTGCATGGGGCTAGAGTTGCGTCCGGTCACGGCGCGTCCTCGGATTACGGCTTGGTGAATGATACGGTCGGCATGGTGGTGCACTCGTAGCTTTTGGTACCGTGCTTCTCCTGGTAAGCCTGGGTGGTGAGTCATGGGGGAATGTTCAGCTATGGGTGGTGTGAGGGGTGCGTGTGCACGGGGCTGTGGGTGATCGCGCACGAGTGCGGCAACGGTGCTTCTCGGAGTACGCGCTTGTGAATGATACGGTCGGCATGGTGGTGTACTCGTGGCTGCTCGTACCTTACTTCTCATGGTGAGCCAGCCTTGGAATGTTCAGGGGATGGGTCATGGGTGATTGCACGGGGCCGTGGGTGATCGCAGGGGCCTGTGGGCCACGGCGCGTTCTCAGACTACGTGTTTGTGAATGATACGGTCGGCATGGTGGTGCACTCGTGGCTGCTTGTGCCTTACTTCTCATGGTGAGCCTTGAAAAGGTCCGTGGCGAGATTTGAATGCGTTGAGCTCCTCCTGGGCCCCTGCTGTGGGCTCAGGTGCACAAGGCACGATCCACGCAAATCCCAGTGAGACGAACAGTGACTGGTTACATAGAATTCACTATAGATATTCCTATAGAACTGCACTAGATATTCCTCGTTGAATACCAGGACGGATTGCCTGGTGGCTTCCGAGAGACTTTGACGGAGAGGCATACCTATCCTAGAGCGAAAGAAGAGGAATCACGGGTCTAGGACTGGGAAACTAACGAAGCCTTGACTTGCTCCACACACCTCCTTCTCTCCTTCTTCCCCCCTTCCCCCCCCCACCCCACCCCACCCCATTCAACACCAACATCTCCCCTCCCACCAACTTGACGGCCTTCTCAATTACCTTACGCTGCAAATGAACAGTAAATACCCGCTAATACCCTCCTCCACCCCTCCCCGGGTTACCCCGTTTTAAAACGCAGGATGCTGATTTCCACCATTGCCTTTCACCAAGAACTGAAGTCTTCCCATCGCCTTCCGCCTTCTTTTTTATTGTGCAGGAAGTACAGTCACCGCCGCCACCACAGCAACACGGGCAGCATGGAAAACGACGAGGTACGTTGCTGAATTTGAAGGGGGTGGATTATATCGGTTCTATGTATCGGTTCTACACAATTATTCTAGCTAGCCAGTCTAGAACTGCGAGCATGAGTGCAGGCAGCATGGAGAACGTCGAGTATGCTGTTGGGTTGGGTTAGAAGGGAGTGGGTTCAGCACGGCTTGTATCGGGTCCAACCAGCTGGGGACTGCGAGCCTGCCTTGAACGTGTCAGGCCACGAGTACAAGGGCCACGCTTTCAACCACTTGATCCCGTACTCGTGCATTCCCTCTGCTGCCTCCTTCCCGTGTGTCCCTTCCTCCCCTTCTTTCCCTTCCTCCCCACCCCAGGTGTTTGTTCCCAAGCGCAAGGACCAGCTGGCACCTGTCTCTGAGTATCTGCAGCACCCCTTTGGCCGTGTGCTCCCCGTCTTCGTCACACCTGACATGTGTGCATGTGTCTGTGCTGTGTTTGCTTCCTTCCTTCCTACTCCAGGTGTTTGTTCCCAAGCGCAAGGACCAGCTGACACCAGTGTCCGAGTACCTGCAGCACCCCTTCGGCCGCGTGCTCTCGATCCTCGTCACGCTGACCCTCGGCTGGCCGCTCTACCTCTCGTTCAACGTGTCGGGCCACGAGTACAAGGGCCACGCCAACCACTTCAGCCCGTACTCGGGGATCTTCTGCGACAGAGAGCGGTTCTGGGTGCTCGTCAGCGACCTGGGGCTGCTGGCTGTGCTCGGGTGCCTCTACTCCCTCGGCTCCGCCTACGGCCTTGCATGGGTGCTCAAGGTACGGCTGTAGCATGGGTGCTCAAGGTACGGCTGTAGCATGGGTGTATCATAAACGCGTGGGGGGTTTGTGCACGCATGCATGTTTCATTCCCCCTATCACAATCCTCATCATCTCCCTTGTCCCATCATCAGGAGCGCTTCTCTTAACAGTTGTATTTTGAGTCGACTCAAATACATCTCCCTTGTCCCATCGTCAGGAGCGCTTCTCTTAACAGAGAATTCTCTTAACAGCGATCAAAGCTCCCTACATGTTTCATTCCCCCTATCACACACTCCTCATCATCTCCTTTGTCCCATTTGCACTCGTCTCTTCTCTCTCTCACCCTTATCCTCCCGCTTTCCCTGTGTAGGTGTATGTGTGCCCGCTCCTCATCGTCAACATGTTCTGTGTGCTCATCAGGCTGCTGCGCCACACATGCTCCCTCCCGCTCCTTATTATCTCTGCCCCTCCCTCGCGCCACCCCCTTGCTGCTATTCCCCCTTCTCCAGGTGTATGTGTGTCCGCTCCTCATCGTCAACATGTTCTTTGTGCTCATCACGCTGCTGCAGCCCACGCACCCCTCACGTTTTGATCGTCCTCCCTCCCTCCCTCCCTCGTCCCCCTGCTTCCTCCTCTCCCCTGTGCAGGTGTACGTGTGTCCGCTCCTCATCGTCAACATGTTCTTTGCGCTCATCACGCTGCTGCAGCCCACGCTCCCCTCACACAGGCTCCCTCCCCCTCGTCTCCATCTCCGCCTCTCCCTTTCACGCCTCCCCTCTGCTCTCACCCCAGGTGTACGTGTGCCCTCTCCTCATCGTCAACATGTTCCTCGTGCTCATCACGCTGCTGCAGCACACGCACCCCGCTCTCCCACACTTCGACTCCTCCGAGTGGGAGTGGCTGCGAGGGGCTCTCGCCACTGTCGACCGTGACTATGGGTACCTGAATATTGGTAAGCTGACTGTGTGGAAATCACATCGCAGACACCCATGTGGCTCACCACATCTTCTCCACCATGCTGCACTACCATGCAGCGGACGCCACCAAAGCCATCAAGCCCGCTCGCTTCCTTGATCGACTCATTATCTACCCTCGTGTCCACCCCTCGATTTTGCGGGGTGTTTTTGAGAATTCTCAAAAACACCCTCATTATCTACCCTCGTGTCCACCCCTCTCCCCCTCCATCCCCCAACAGTGCACCATCACATCGCGGACACGCAGGTGGCGCACCACGTATTCTCCACCATGCCACACACACTTGTATGCCCAGTCGACTCTTGTTTAACTTTTCTCCCCTTTTCTCCCTCCTCCCCTTAACAGTGCACCATCACATCGCAGACACCCATGTGGCGCACCACATATTCTCCACCATGCCGCACCATATACGCAACCTCCCCTCTCTGCCTTTACCATTCACACCCCGCTCCCTTGCCTCCCCCCTTCCACCCATCAGTGCACCATCACATCGCGGATACGCACGTGGCGCACCACATATTCTCCACCATGCCGCACTACCATGCAGAGGAGGCCACCAAAGCCATCAAGCCCATCTTGAAAGACTACTACCAGTTTGATGACACCCCCATCGTTAAAGCCCTATGGAGGGAGACGTCGCAGTGTGTCTGTGTGAGTACCCTCAATAGCTAGCCTCTAGCTTCTCTGATCCCCCCACCACAACAACGCCCTTAGCCCTAATCCCCTGTGTCCCCACCTCATCTTCCCGATTTTTCATTTCCCTCTGCTACCTTCACTCGTTTCCCTCTCACTTTTCTCATCTCGGCCTCTCCTCCTTTCACTAGCCTCTCCAAACTCATCCCCCTCACTCATTATCCAATCTGCCTTCACCATTATCCAGGTTGCTCCTGATGAGGATGGTCCCAAGGGCGTGTTCTGGTATTCAAACAAGCTTAAGTAAACAATATCATATTATTTGGAACTTCCTGCTGATGCAAGGCTGCAACAGCAACAGCAGCAAATGTAAGTGTCGGACACTGGACTTGAGTGCTTCTTCAGCTGTGTATGACCTGTGGAATGCCATAATAATGGCAGGAACAGACATTTAGAGATTAGTCCAGTTGCAGCACTGCTTGTTTCGCCATATCCAAGCTTCTCTAAATTTGCGCAGTGAGGCCTTTTCGGGGCTCGTAGTTCCAAGTTAAAGAATGTCTAGAACAAGGCATACAAGGGAATATAACCTAATGGTTTGTACTCCTTAAGGCACAACCCTATATAATCTACATAATCATACAATATATATTTGACACATCCCCTAGACTGGATAGGGGCAGCGCCCGATTGAGAGAGATGTCAAAATCCGAGTCACTAACCACTGGGTTAAAAGTGTCAAACATAAGTATAACTCATGTTTGTATAGACTGTATAGGGTCGCCTCTTAGAGGGTACAACACTTTTAGGTATATACCCTTGTACTCTCCCTCTATTCAACAACTCTTCAATTCTAACATGGTACATCAGAGCCAAAGGTCTTGGGTTCAACTCCCAGTGCCAGCGCTGCAGAGGCGCTTGTGTCTTCCACCTATCCCAGCGGGGGGGGGGGGTGTTGAGTGACCCGCTGGGGTTGACCTTGAGATCCTCGGGGAAGGGCCACAGGTGCAGAGCCTGGGGGGCTATGGGCGCACTTACCCGCTATTCAACAAGCCCTTTTAACCCAGTGGTTAGTGACTGGGTTTTTGACAAAAAGGGCTTGTTAAATAGCGGGTAAGTGCGCCCATAACCCCCCAGGCTCTGCACCTATGGCCCTTCTCCGAGGATCTTTGTAAGGGTAACCCAGCGGGTCACTCGACAAGAGAAACAACTCAGGGTGGCACTACTAGTCTAGCCTCTGAGGCAGGGGTCTAAAGACCAGTCAAACAAATACAGACAAGGCAAGAGCAAGACCAGGGTGGCACTACTAGTCCAGCCACTGGGAAGAGGCCACAAGACCAATCAGTTTAATATATAAAGGTCTTGTCAACTTATACATATGCTGTATGTAGAAGTTATAGGCTAGCCTAGGTGTGTGCTTCTAGTGAGTACAACCCCAACAGGTACATGTTCTAGGTTTCTCACACTAGTCCATTCATTCTCTCTTTCTAACATGGTATCATGAGTAGGTTCGGTTCCTCTCGCCCGCCCACGCTTCCGCCCTAGGCCCTAGCCGCCCTCGTGACCCGTCCCTAGCTGGCCCCCTCCCCCCTGGCCGTCCCGTCCGCCCCTAGCCAGCCCCCCTGGCCGTCGCGCCCGCCCCTAGCTGGCCCCCTGGTCGTCGCGTCCGCCCCTAGCCGGCCCCCTGGTCGTCGCGCATGCCCTTAGCTGGCCCCCTGGCCGTCGCGTCCGCCCCTAGCCGGCCCCTGGCCGTCGCGTTCGCCCCTAGCCGGCCCCCTGGCCGTCGCGCCCACCCCTAGCCGGCCCCCTGGCCGTCGCGTCCGCCCCTAGCCGGCCTCCTGGCCGTCGCGTCCGCCCCTAGCCGGCCCCCTGGCCGTCGCGCCCGCCCTTAGCTGGCCCCCTGGCCGTCGCGCCCGCCCTTAGCTGGCCCCCTGGCCGTCGCGACCGCCCCTAGCCGGCCCCCTGGCCGTCGCGTCCGCCCCTAGCTGCCCCCCTGGCCGTCGCGCCCGCCCATAGCCCGCCCCCTGGCCGTTGCGCCCCCCCTTAGCTGGCCCCCTGGCCGTCGCGCCCGCCCCTAGCCGGCCCCCTGGCCGTCGCATCCGCCCCTAGCCGGCCCGCTGGCCGTCGTGCCCGCCCCTAGCTGGCCCACTGGCCGTTGCGTCCGCCCCTAGCCGGCCCTCTGGCCGTTCACGCCCGCTCCTAGCCGGCCCCTCCTAGCGCCCGCCCGGCCCCCTCTACCGCCCGCCCGGCCCCTGCTAGCGCCCGCCCGGCCCCTGCTAGCGCCCGCCCGGCCTGTTGCGCCCGCCCGTCCCACACCGCCCGCCTGGTCCCACCCAGCGCCTGCCCGGCCCCGATACACCTGCCCGGCTCCTGCGACCCGCAGTTCCGGTGCTTGCCCGGCTCCTGCGGCTCCGTGTCTTCTGCTCAGCACGGTTCCTCGGGTCTCCGGCCTTGTGTCTTCTGCTTGCCAGCGCTGGAGCGTCCTGCAGACGTCCCCCTGGAGCTGTGCTGCTGTGTCCCTGTGCCGCTGTGTCGTGTGGAGCTGTGCCAATGTGTCCCTGTGTCGCTGACCCTGCACGATGGCTGACTTCGTACTCCGCCTGGACGCTGAGGGCCATGCGGTTGACTTCGCCGCCTGGCTGTCCGATCTCCGCCGTCAACTCACAGGTCAGCGCCAGGATGGGCACTCCTTGGTTCTCCATACTGATGGCTTGCTCCCCCGCCCCCCTGCTCCCCTCCCTGCTGACCCCACCTCTGCTGAGCGTGAGACTTTCTCTGCTGCTGCACTTGCCTGTGCCGTCTGGGACTCTCGCGATGCAGTTGCTCAGGTCGCTATCAATCACGCCCTCCCTGTGTCTGAGCGTTCACGTTTTGCTACGGTTGATACAGCCAAGGCTTAGAAGCTGTTGTTGCTCGCTATTCCACACCTGCCTCCGTTACTGCAGGCCGCCTGCTCTTCCCTATGCTTTTCCCAGACCTTGCTTCCTTCCCTACTGTTGCTGACCTTGCCACTCACCTGCGCGCCCTAGAGTCTCGCTACCGCACTGCTAGCACTGCTGCCCAGCTCACTGCGCTCCCTCCCCCCTTCTGCATGACCCTCTACTTTATCGCCATGCGCCTGCCTGACCACCTTGCTAGTGCACGCGACCACATCCTTAGCCAGCACCCGGGTGATCTCACCCTGCCAGCCTTTGTCACCGCCCTGACCGAGATCGAGACTCGCCAGCGCACTATCGCTCAGTCGAGCGGTGCGCCGGCAGTCTCTATCTTTCACGGCTGTGCCCCCTCCCAGTGCACGTTTACTGACGTTTCGGCTGCGGGCGCCACTGTGACCCCTCTGACCGAGACTGCAGCTACGGTACACCCGCAGCAGCGCTCGCGCCGCGCCGGTTGTGACCGCCAGGGAGGGCGTGGTGGTGGAGTTGGTTGTAGTAGTGGTGGTACCGGGGACAGTGGTTCTACTGAGGGGACTGCCTCAGCTAGTCAGGAGCAGCAGCCATCGCCCCAACAGCAGGAGCAGCCGCCGCAGCAGTCGCAGTCGTCGCAGCAGCTGTCCCAGCCCCAGCCGTGGGCTCGCCTCCCCCCGGGTTGGCCCGGCACCTCCGTAGGTGGTGGCCATGGTGGCGGCCCGCGCAGCTTGGCGTCTACCGGCAGCTCCGTTGGTGTGACCTGCTAGTACCAGCTTCAGATCAGGCCTCTCCGCGGCACTCTGTGCCGCCGCCTGCACCCGACCGCCTGCTATTTCCGCCGCCTCGATGATGTATTTCGTCGTCGCTTTGGCCCGGCCCCGGACCTCCCCGACTGGCACAGCCTACTTCGCCAGGGCGTGCCGATCTTTGATTTAGATATGGATCAGATAGGTGCTGCTTTGCATGCCTTGTATGCTGACGCTTCTAGTATAGCTGGATCTTATTACCCTGTGTACTCTAGTTTAGGCGTAGCACCTTTGTGTAGCTTAGCCTCCCCTGCTGCGTCAGGTGTAGGACTGCCTAGTTTGCCTAGCCTAGTTTCTGCACAGGCTCCGTTCCCGGCCTCCGCTACTGCCTCGCTGTCCTTCACTCTTGACTCCGGTGCTTCTGCCTGTTTCTTCCGCGACCGCTCCACGCTCACGCCGCTTGCTGCACCTGCTGTTGTCGCTCTCGCTGACCCCTCCGCGGGTCCTGTCGTCGCTCGCAGCTCCACTTCCCTTCCCTGTCCAGCCGTTCCCTCGGGCTCTCTTACAGGCCTCCACGTTCCCTTGTTCTCCAGGAACCTGGTTGGTGTCGGCCGTCTTCAGGACCTCGGCGTCACCACTATGTTCCTTGGGCACGAGCGGTTCGCTGTCTGTACCAAGGCAGTCTCAGGTTCTCCCCTTGCGACGTTCCCCCAGGACCCGGTGTCCGGTCTGTTTACCCTCGACACCGCTTCCCCCCCGGTTGGTGCGTCCTCCCAGGTCGCTGCAGCTTGCTCGTGTCGGACCCTCACACACCCGTCCCTTCTGTGGCACCACCGCTTAGGTCACCCTTCTCTCCCGCGCCTGCGTCATATGTCTCAGCACGGTCTTGTCTTAGGCCTTCCCAAGTCTCTCTCCGCACTTCCCCCCTCGACTGCGCCACCGTGCACGCCTTGCGTCGAGGTCCGGCTCCGCCATGCCCCTCACTCCTCCTCGCTTCGCCCTGCTACTGCTCCCCTTCAGACCCTGCACGTGGACGTTTGGGGCCCAGCCCCCGTCCCCGGACCCCGCGGTGAGCGCTACTTTCTTGTGCTCGTCGACGACTACACGCGCTACACCACGGTGTTTCCCCTGGAGCGGAAGGCCGACGTGCCCGACGTTCTTCTCCCGTGGGTTGTGGCTGCGCGTCTTCACCGCAATCTCCCCGTGTTGTGTCTCCACTCTGATCGTGGCGGCGAGTTTGCCTCTGGTCGGCTTGGTCAGTTCTGTCGTGCGGAGGGCATCACCCAGTCGTACACCTTGCCGGACTCGCCACAGCAGAATGGGGTTGCTGAGCGCCGCATCGGCTTGGTCATGGAGGTTGCTCGTACCTCCATGGTTCATGCCGATGCCCCCCATTTTCTGTGGCCGTTTGCTGTCCGCTACGCTGCTCACCAGCTTAACCTGTGGCCACGCTCCCAGCAGCCGCGGGTTTCGCCGACCCTCCTTTGGACTGGGTCCCCCGGTGACGCGTCTGCGTTCCACGTCTGGGGTTGCCTTGCTCACGTTCGTGCCTCTGGCACGGACAAGCTCACTACCAGCACTGTCCCCTGTGTCTTCTTCGGTTTCCCCCTGGACTCGTCTGACTGGCTCTTCTACCACCCGCAGTCTCACCGCTTCCTTCACTCTCGTGACATCACCTTTGACGAGTCTGTCTCCTTCTACTGCCGCTTCCCTCACCGAGGTCTCCCGGTTCCCCCCCCCTTGTTCGTGGCTCCCTCTCTCTCGGTAGCCCCTGCTCCCCTCCCGCCTCGTCCTGCCCCGTCTGGTGTCTCCCATGTCACTCCCCTCCCATCGGTTGTCCCTGTTGAGGAGTCTTCTGACTCTGGTGGTCCCCCCGGCCCGTCCTTGCCGCGTCCCCCTTCCCCGGTGTCTCCGCCTCCGCTGTCGCAGCCGCCGCCGCCGCCGTCGCAGCCGCCGCCGCCACCGCCATCGCCGCCGCTGC